TTCGGTTTGGTTAATTTAGGATAACTTTTTTTTGCTTTACGTTACGATGAATTTCTTTTCGAGTAGATGAATTTTGGTTTCGTTTTTATGCACCCATGTATCCATGATGCAGCTACATTCTTGGAAAATTGTGTTGAGAGGGCCCATTTGGTTAGGCCCGTAATAAAGCCTGCATTCGACCCATATGGATCTCGGCTTGGCCTTGATTGAAGCTTGTGAAGCTGCATATATTGTTTGTTCCCTTTTTATTGCATTAATAATTGTAACACAAATCAATTTTTTTTTTTTTTTGAGTCCTTCTGGACCTTTTTCAAAATGATCAATTGCAAGAATAACAAAAAAAAATTAATAATTGAAAAAGTAACAAAATTAGCATATGTGGCTACAATATCAACCTTTAAATTTAGGTTAAATGGTTAAAATTTTTATTATAGTTTTTTTCTTGTTATTGGTTGCAATTTCCCTTTTCAAAACGACAAAATAGTCTACGTTGTGGAGAAGATAAAGACCATTGATTAAAAAAAAATTGAACTCTCAATTTTAAAATAAATTATCTAAAAAAAAGTAAAATTTATTTTTGGAACCGTCTCGGTCATATCCTATACTATTTGTCAAAAATATAAAATATAGAATCTCCCAAAGGTAACATAACATGGGGGAAGTTTATAAGGTCTCTAGCCATGAATTTCATCTCTTGGAAACTAAAAAATAAGAGTGATTGTTATTTTTGATACGAATTTAATCTCTAACTTGCAACTTTCCCAGAGATTATTTGACAGAAATAGCTGTGGCTGTGACAGAAATAACTTGCAATTGTTATCTCCCTAACATGTTTTCATGTTTTCAACAAAATGAGTAAATAACCATATATCTTCAATAACAATTCAGCGCTCCGGCGCATGTTCCATTCAAGATCGTTCAAGATCGTAGATCGACGGATACATAACAATTGTCTAGCTAAAAAAAAAACCTCCGACCTTCCAGGATTTGCTTGCATTGTTGTTCAGAAGTACTTAATTAGCTTTCATTAACTTGTCTTTACTTTGTATTGCCTATCATGGGATCAATCCCAAAGGCCATACTAGTCATTATTTTTTTCTTATTCTCATCTATTGTAATCGAATGCTTAAAGTGAAATACAACCATAACGTTTTTATTCTAAGCACAATATGAGGAGTCAAGAACACCACAGAAATCTTTAATCTTTCCATGTAGAAATCCTCTTTCGGAATATGGAATGTCTCCTAAAATGACATATAGATATTGCTTCCTTCAAGATAGATTTTTAGGATCTCTTAAAGATGACCTCTTCACCATCAAATTGTTCGGCTTTCTTCTCTCACTTGGATGTTTTATTAGTAATATAGTAATATTGAAGGTTCTATAAATCTAAACTAGTTCGAAATTCTTTTAATGGTGATAGCTCGACTTTGTAATTGTTATTTTCAAGTATGTATGTTTGGGATTTAGCAATGTATTACTCCTCCGATGTAATCCGACCAGTTGTGAAATGAATCAAAACTCCAGATGAAAAAAAAAAAAAACTAGTTCGAAATTCCAGAGTTTTACTATATTATTTTGGTTGAAAAAAAGTAAAATGATTTTCTATACAGAATATATTAGTGATTATGAAATGAAAGACTAAAATAAAATCTTGCACCATTATCTCCCACTACTAAAAAGGACTTTTTTTTGCATGAGTTAAACATTTCTTTATTATAAATACTTTAGAATAAAAGAACATGATAATAATAATTAAAGTGGGAAAGCAATAAACTTGTGTGGTGGTATCCTACAACAACAAAAAGTATAACCCACAATGCTCATTGCAAGGAGAGAGATCCATATAATTAAATTAAGCCCAAACATATATACACAAGAACAAACCAAGAAACATAGCAAGCCACATTAATGTTGTACTATTGAGTATGATGCATCGACGTGACATCACATTAAATTTACATATCATTTTCATTTACATATTTTTTTTGTTAAAGTTTTTCATTTACATATTGGCATGTCTTTCTTTTACATATTTGGTAGCAACACGTTACACTACACATATCAATTACGACATGAACTATTTCATGATATATGATTATCTTAAAATGAAAAAATGAATTATTTCACGGTTCTTCTTTTTGGTGGTTTTGATGAACATGGACTTGTAAATTCGGAGATGCAGAAAAAGAAAAAGAAGATGATAACATCTGAGATAAAGAAGCCTTTAATTTGTCGAAAAACTCATAATAGGACTTTGGGACAAACCACGTTTACGAGGGGACCTTCATCATTTCTTGTACAATTCACTTATCTATTCAAAATTTTAATGTAATAATGTAAGAGGCTAAATGGTGTGGATTGATGGTTAAAGATTTGGGGACAATGTATTGTCCAAACAGTCCCATTTCGTTTGGTTAGTTGGAAATCATGTTATGCTTTAGACCATTAGCAAATACGGTGAACTAATTATCAACAGCTGCATTCACCCCGTAAAGAATAGTCGGCATTTTGGACCGAGTTACCTCTTATTAAAAGAAGGAAACCATGTAAGAGACCTTTGTTTTTATAGTCAGGAGAATTCGAAACCGTTGCTTGAACTCTATAGTGGATTTTAATTTGTAATCTTGTTAATGCGATGTCTCCGGAATAACCGGATACGCGAGC